GTCCGAGCAAAACTCCGAAGAAGGGTCCTCCAAGCATACCAGGTCGACAGGAAGCGTAAGTTGGTCAAGAAATAGCAAGCGTAGCAGTTAATGACCGTCAGTCAGCCAGAAGAGTTGAGGCTGCAGCAGGTCGGTGATCATACGGACATAGTGCTAGACCTAGACTAGCTTGATCGGATGGTTAAGGTGCGCACTATAGCCATGGGCTTGCTTGGAGATGACTTGGTGAATTTATTAAGATAATTTAGAGATGTGTTTCATTTGAAGTTCATGAGATGCCAAGTATAAGCCCAGAATTAGCAGTTCATAAGCTGGGTGTAAATCCGGCCGTAAGGCCAGTCCGACAGAAAAAGAGAAATCACGGTGAAGAAAGAAATTAGGAATCCCCGACCGAAGTAAAGAAGTTGCTGGACGCAGGTTTCATTCAGCAATGTTGTTACCCTGACTGGGTGGCTAATGTAGTTCTGGTTATGAAGCCAAATGGAACTTGGCGGATGTGCGTGGATTACACTAATCTCAACAAGGCGTGCCCTAAGGATAGCTTTCCCTTGCCTAAAATTGATCGCCTGGTTGATTCAACGGCCAAGCATGCCCTAATGAGCTTTATGGATGCATACTCTGGTTTCCACCAAATCCCTTTGTGGGAAGAAGATCATGAAATAACAGCATTTGTGACAGAGCAGGGGTTGAAATGTTACAAGGTCATGCCATTCGGTCTGAAGAATGCCCTTGCCACATTTAAGAGACTTGTGAATACGGTCATCAGAGATCAAATCGACTAGAACATGGAGGCTTATATTAATGATATGATTGTTAAATAAAAAAATCCGACCGACCATCTGAGTGACCTCCGAGAAATATTTACCGAACTCAGGACGCATAAGTGAAAGGAATGGTGTCTTTCGAACAAGTGTATTATTACGATAGAGGGTTCAGAATTAATTAGGAAAGCTAATTATTTAGTGAAGTCAAGTGATCAGAATGCCTAGCTGGAGGCCGCTTCCGATAAGTAATATTAATATTACAGCTTGCTCTTGACTAAACCCTTCGGGTCACACCTAATTGTGTAACCGAACAAAGGTGACGAATTAATCCGAAGAATTAAATAAGTGGATAGAGATTTTACGAACTCAGATGTCGGATTTCGAGCTTAGAGTGTCAAAGCCGAGCGTCGAACGTCAAGACAATTCAAGCAATCGACGAGACAAGAAATTAGTTAAACAACAAGTCAACGCTAAGCCCCAGCCTCGTATTGGCTTAGCTATGCGAGGGCCAGGCTGCCAAAGGCTGCTAGCCTAAGCGCTAGCTAGGCCGCAAGCACAGCAGCCCTATACGGGTGCTGGCTGGTGCTTGCTGGCCGTGCCAGCGTGCTAGCAAGGCCAGCCGCATGCTAGCGCGTTGGGCCTCGTTGGCTGCTGCTAGCGCTAGCCAACCCACAGCATGGCAAGGCCACACATAGAAGCCCGCATAGCATGCGAGGCCTGCGTGTCCAGGAAGCCAGCCATGGGCCACTAGCAGGCCCAGCCAAGGGACCAAGGCGCCAGCGAGGCAGCGTTGGTGTCCAAGATCGAATGCCAACTAGCGCGAGCTGGTTGGGGCTGGTTGTGTGAGGTGTGTTTGCCTTGGGAGCAAGGGAGGTGTGGTCCTCCTCTTATGGTCCTCACGTACCCTCCCTCTCCTCTTGCCACTTGTTGTTTGCTAATTGATTTGTGCATTTAATTTAATTTGGAATTAAATTAATTACTTATTTTTCTCACTTTATCATTTCTCCCTTTTGGACAGATGATTGAAGTTTTTGGGAGCCTTTGCCTAAAAATGCTAACCTTGGGAGTTGGGATTATTCACTTGATTTGAACTCAATAAGGTATCTCCTAAAAGCGTGAGAAAGCCTTTAAGTTCGTAATACTATAGTTTCTTTTGGTCTAGCCTCGTCTAAGCTACGAGGTAGGGACCCGTTTGGGCGCGTGGGTGTGCAAAGAAGGAGGATTTGCACTTGTAGGTCTCGAGCTTTCCATGGTTCGTGTTCGTGAGAAGCACGCTACAACGGTAAGGAAGTCTTTTCCTTACTTTCTCTCTCTCTTTCTCTCTTTATGTGTTTATTGTTTTAATAATTGCATGTTAAGTTTGTTTAGTTGTATTAATTATGCTTTCGATCCTTGCGGGTTTTGTTTCTGCGCGGTGTCAGACACCGCAAAACCCAACAACGGTATAAGAGCCTCTCGCATTTAATTTTTACAACTAAAAATTAATTAAGGTGATTTAAAATGGGTTTAAATTTCTGGATTAGCAACCTAATTAGATTAGGACCTCGTTTTTAATTGGATTAAAATCGTATTATTGCTATTTTTTGACTACGAACCCAGATTTTGACCAAAAAGTAGTGCTTTTTTGGGTGGAATCGTTGTTCTAAATCATACTTCACCAACATAGTGGTTAAAAATGGCCTTCCAGAAGCCAAAATCTGCCTAAAAAGTGGTTTTTCGAAGGGTTTTTTTTTGTTTGGAACGATTTTTTTTTAAAATCTTTAAACCTTGATTAATTATAAGTTATGACATGCAATTGTTGGATTATGTGTTTAGATTAATCTTCTGCAGTTTCATTCCTTATTAAGCACGTTTATGATGTAAATTGGTTGCTTAATTTGGATAGCTCTTAATTTACATAAACTTGGAATTGTTCATTTTTGCCATTAGATTGCTTGTAATGTGTAAGTTTATGTTGAAAATGTTTTTTGAACCCTTAAAATAGTTAAAGATTTAATCTTTAATGGTTTAAACGGTTGAATCTTAACTTGCTAAAATCCATAGTGAACAAATTTTGAGTTTTAATCATTTTGGAAGGTTATTAAAATCATAAATGTTCATACTTGTGCTTGAATATTATCCTTCATATTAGAAGGTTGTAATATTCAAATATGCATAACTAATTGTTGGATAAATTATTTTCATTGGATGATTGATTATTTATTCAACTAATTTTGTCAAATCTCATTATTAATTTTAACTTTTGGTTAAATTAATTATGAGACATGCCCTCAAATTTTAATTTATTGCATCTAGTTGAGCCAAAATTATTAAAAGAATAGTTCTTGAACTAATTTTGGTTTGTGCTGTAAAATTGGATTAATTAACTTAGACTTGTTTTAATTTCAAAATTGCTTAAATGTTAATTCTAAAATTCAATTTGGAATTAACTTAGAGTCACAAAAAAAAAATTAGAGTAAAATTCCGAGGCACAAAACAAAAATTGAAGCCTCAAGCTTCGAGCACCAAGGCTCGGCTAGGAGGGCTGCTTGCAGCCCGCCATGTTGCTGCTGAGCTAGGTGCATGTGTGCGTGTGTGTGTGGTTGCAAGCACGCTTGGTGCGGAGGGCATTCGGAATGGCTGGCATGGCGTGGCAAGCACAACAGCAGTGTGCTCGTGTGCACGCGCCATGTGCGTGCTGACTGCCAGGCAGCGCCCAGGTAGCAGCTCGGCACGCAAGGTCGGGGCTGCTAGGTAGCACCCTGCACTTACGTGCATGCGAGCGAGCTGGGGCTGCTGGGTATCATCAACCCAGGGCCTTAGCATGGATGCTAGGCTTCGCAACCTAGCAGCACCCACTTTTAAGTGGGAGGTAAGGCTCGGTTTTGTGCTAGCCTTTATATATACCTCAATTTTATTTTGCGGTTTTGTTTAAAATAAGGCTAGGCCTTGGTTTTTCACGTACCTGCATAATTTTTGACAAAATTTGCCTTGATCGGATTAATTAATATTTAATTGGATTAATTTAATTAAGTTGGATGTGGAATTTAGTGGGAGCTTCATTAATTGGTTTTGAGCTTGATTAAGCCTTAATTGTGCTTTTCGTTATTACGTTAGTTCACATATTGGATAAGCACTTGACTAGTTTTCATTAGACGTGTAAATCGGATTAACCACCTAAGTTAGTAACTAGTACGTCCTCGTTTGATACAATTGTTTCTATTGTTTCTTGTGTTATTTGTAAAAATGCATGGGCCATTTACTTAAGAAGTGAATGGGTGAATGGAATATGATAAATGTTCTTATGCACGTTTTTACAAAAAGGCAACTAGTATGGCCCGACTAGGATAGTAAATACGGATTTCGTTCCGTTACGTATTTTTGTAAATCTAAATACGGACTGCGTGCTGTTAAGTATTTTTGTACTTAGATCATTTAGATTACTCCTAGTTACTAGTGGTTTCATGATTGATGGTGAAGTCTAAACACGACGCTTCTAAGAAGACGAAGCCAAAAGATGCGATGGTGACCTTGAAGATTGGATGCTTCAAGTTTCAAGGGGTCATTTTAGTTTGCCATGCGTGTTTAAGTATCTTTTATATATTTTGCTTATATATAATTGCGATATTAGATGCATATTTAGAATTTCGAATGTTGAATGATTAATTTAGTTCACTTAAATTAACCAACATAAAAACTCTAAGTCCCTATAATATTGAGTTAAAATTTGCCATTCCAAAATGACACTTACCAAACTATTTTGAATAGTAATGGGCTATGCCAAAGCAAGGCATTACTAGTTTCCTAGGGAAGTAAGGTATACTAGGTATACGCGTTAGTTTTGGATAAAATCAACGATATCGGTAAGGAGTCCTTAGATGTCGTGGCAACGAATATAATCGTTAAGAAAGCATTAGATGTGACGATTTATCGAACCAAGAATAGTTTAGAGCTATTAGAAATTAGATTGCTTACCTTAAAATATTAAGTGTTAAGATAAGCCAAACCATGCTTAATCACTTATTAATTTTTGGGGTCTTGGAATCGTTTTATTCTCGCCTAATAGGGACAATTTTAAAACGTTAAATAAGATTGAAAATTAGCATGTATGCTTTAAATTTCAAAGTTATTAGTTTTTTGAATGGTTTTTCATTGAAAATTCTTTCATTTGTGGCAAAATGTCTGCAACTAACACCAAAAAGACTAAACCGATGGCACGCTGCCAACTGGGATGTCAAATGGATCATGTTGGCCACAATGTCTCCGGATCTCCAAAAGAATTTCTTTGAGAAGGAGATGACTTTTGAGATCAAATCTGAATTTCAAAATATGTTTCAAGAGCAGGCCCGAACTGAGAGGTTCGAGACCCATAGGCAAATCGTTGAGAGCAAGCTCAAGAAAGGAGAGCTTATCAGACCTCATGTGCTCAAAATGATTGGATTATTCGAGAACATGGAGAGTCTTGATGCGGAATACTCAAACGAGATGGCAATTGACATCGTTCTCCACTCGTTGCATAAAGGTTATGATAAGTTCAAGATGAATTGTAATATGCACAGCATGGAGTAAACCCTCATAGAGCTTCACGGGATGTTGAAGCAAGCCGAGCAAACGCTCAAAAGCATGACATGCTTAAGGGCAAGCCATTTAAATGATCAGGAAAGAAGAAGAGCTATAAGGGGAAGAGTAAAAAGACCTTTCCACCTAAGCGAAAAGCTACCAAGGGAGACAAGAAAAAGAAGGTATCATCTTCTCAATCTGACTCCGAATGCTTCTACTTTAAGAAGAAGGGACATTGGAAACGGGATTACCTCAAGTTCAAGGAAGATAAGAAGAACGACACCGTTGCTTTTGGATCAGGTATATATGTTATAAACCTTAACTTTACTAGCAATTCTTCATGGGTATTATATACCGGATGTGGCTCACACCTTTGTTTCCAATGCTCAAGGACTAAGGAAAAGAAAAAAGCTAGTGAAGGGAGAAGTGGAACTGCGGGTAGGCAATGGAGCAAGGATTACGACCGTATCCGTAGGAACACTCAGTTTATCTTTGCCGTCAGGGCTTGTTTTAGAACTGGATGAATGTTATCACGTTCCAAACATTACCAAAAACATTATTTCAATTTCGGCGTTGGACGCCAAGGGTTTTGAATTTCGGATAAGGGACAATAGTTGTTCGTTTTATCTTGATAATGTTTTATATGGTACGACATATTCAGAAAATGGTCTTTATTTGCTTTCATTAGACAAACAAGTTTATAGAGTTAACAATAACGCCAAAAGGGTTAAGACCAATGGGTCGAATCCAACCTAGATGTGGCAGTTTCGTCTACGCCATATACATCAAACGCATCAAGAAACTTCTTCGTGAAGGGATTCTTGATTCATTTGACTTAAAGTTGTTTGAAAATTTTGAAGGATGTTTACTTGGTAATATGATACAACAACCCTTCTCCAAGTTAGGAGAAAGGGCAAGTGACTTATTAGGGCTCATACACACGGATATATGTGGACTAATGAGCACAACCGAAAGGAAAGGTTATCGCTATTTTATCACATTCACGGACGAGTATAGTAGATATGGCTAAGTTTACCAAATGTCGCACAAATTTGAATCCTTTAAAAAGTTCAAAAATTTCAGAGTGAAGTGGAAAATCAGCTTGGCAAGAAAATCAAAGCCTTTGGATCGGATCGAGGTGGCGAGTATTTAAGCTATGAATTCGACGACCATCTGAAAGAACATGGTATTCTCTTAGAATTGACATTTCCCGAAACTCCATAATGGAATGAAGTATCCGAGAGGGGAAATCAAACTCTGTTAGACATGGTACGATCCATGATGGGTCTTACCAATCCTCCTATCTCTTTTTGGGGACATGCACTTCAAACCGCGACACTAACACTAAATCGCGCTCCGTCAAAAGCTGTTGAAAAGACTCCATATGAATTATGGACGAAGGAACCTCCGAAAGCTATCGAAAAGACTCCATATGAATTATGGACAAAGAAACCTCCGCGGTTGTCTTTTCTTTAGATTTGGGGTTGTGAAGCATATGTCAAGAGACTTATGTCTGACAGCACCAAAATGTGACAAATGTTTCTATGTGGGGTATTCAAAAGAAACAAAGGGGTATTACTTCTACAACCAATCTGAGAACAAATTATTTGTTGCTTGAGATGGTGTCTTTTTAGAAAAGGAGCATCTTTCCAAAATGACAAGTGGGAGGAAAATCGAACTTGATGACGTTCGAGTAGATGAGCAACAAAATGAATCTGATAAAATTGACAATCAAAGGGCTTTGGAAGCAGCTATTGATAATAGTCAGGATCGAACCGACAATGTTCAAAGTCAAACCGAATATGTTCAAAGTTAAATCGACAATGTAAATGCTTAATCTATTACCCTGTGTAGGTCGCAAAGGTCAAGATCTCAACCGAATAGATACCTCGGTGTCGTCTTAACTGAGAATCAAGACATCCTAGTCTTGGATGAAGATGAGCCAGCGACATACAAACAAGCTATGACGAGCCTCGACTCTGCTAAATGGCTAGAAGTCATTAAACCCAAGATGGACTCCATGCTTGAAAATCAAGTATGGGACTTGGTTGATTTGCCCGAAGGATATACACCTATCGGTTGTAAATGGCTTTTTAAGTTGAAAATTGACAAAGATGGAAATGTATATGTATACAAAGCTAGACTGGTGGTAAAACGTTACAGGCAAATTCATGTCATTGATTATGATGAAACCATTTCGCCAGTTGCCATGCTTAAGCCCGTTCGGATTATCCTAGTAATTGCTGCATATTATGATTATGAAATATGGAAAATGGACGTCAAAACCGCCCTTCTTAATGGGATTTTGGACGAAACTGTGTATATGACACAACCTGAAGGTTTTGTAGATCCATAATGTTGTGAAGGTATGAAAGCTTATCAAATCCATTTATAGATTAAATCAGGCTAACAAGAGTTGGAATCTACGATTAGATGAAGCCATCAGCAAGTTTGCTTTTATCAATAATCCAAATTAGTCTTGTGTTTACAAGAAGGTTAGTGGGAGTGACATCGTATTCCTTGTCTTATATGTCGATGACATATTGCTCATTGGAAATAGTATTCTGATGCTAGAGTTTGTAAAGACATGACTTGGAAAGTGTTTTTCAATGAAAGACTTGGGAGAGGCATAGTATATTCATGGAATCAAGATCTATAGGGATAGATCTAAGAGGATGATTGGATTGAGCCAAAGTACTTATATTGATAAGGTACTGGCACGATTCAATATGGTGGAAGCCAAGATAGGCCACCTACCTATGTCTCATTGCATAACTCTTAGCAAGAAACAGTGTCCAAAGACACCTGATGAGCGAGAGAGAATGAATCTATGCTTCGTTTATTAGATCGATCATGCAGCCATGATATGTATAAGGCCGGATGTATCGTACGCCCTGAGTGCAACAAGGCGATACCAACCAGACCCAGGAGAGGCGCATTGGACTACAACCAAGAATATCCTAAAGTACCTGAAAAGGAACAAGGATAAACTTCTAGTCTATGGTGGAAGTAAGGACTTGGTTGTTAAAGGTAACACCGACGCAAGCTTCCTGACTGACTGAGATGACTTCAAGTCGCAATCAGGATACGTGTTCTATCTAAATATAGCGGTGTTTAGTTGGAAGAGTGCTAAGTAAATCACGACTGTAGATTCTACAACTGAAGCCGAACACTTGGCAGCTTTAGAAGCAGCTAAGGAGGCAGTTTGGATTCGTAAGTCTGTTGGTGAACTTGGTATTGTGCCCTTAATCAAGGGACTAATAGAACTCTATTATGATAACAATGAGGCTGTTTCTCAGGCTAGGGAGCCAAGGGAACATCAGCAGGTCAAACATGTCATGAGGCGATTTCATATGATAAGGGAATGGAAGACCGAAGGTGAAATCAGAATTTGCAAGATTGGAACGTACGACAATGTAGCCGATCCACTCACTTAACCTTTGCCTCAAGTGAAATACAAAAAGCACATTGAGGCAATGGGAATTAGGCATGTCGGAGATGTGCTTTAATTTCCTTATTTTTGTGTTTTAATTAAGTTTTGGAGATCTTAATGTAAAACACTAAGTTAACCATTCATATATGGAGTAATTTTAAATTTTCGCAAATTATTATTCCATTTGTATATAATTGTGGTTTGGAATTAAATAATGAGTCCATTCAATTTGAAAATATTCAAGATAGGTATCAAGACAATGTCTTGGATAAAGAAACACCTATTAAGTGAACATTGAATATCATATCAAAACTATCCCTAATCGAGGTCATTTGAAAGTTGGACGACTAATGGCCGCGTGAGATTAGTGTGTAGTATTATTTATAGCACCGTTTATTGTGCTACAAGGGAAAGAATGTCATAAATCATTTGTACATGTATTAGTTTAGAACTATGCCAGATCGACCTATGAGAATACTTTTAGAGATTTAACAATCGAAAGCTCTTGCCTCAACCATGAGTATTGTAAGTTCTCTTGTTTGAGTACTAGTCCGTCTTGATGTTGTCAAACGCCTACTGTACATGGTGATTATAAAGGCAACACTCAGGAAGCTAGGGCCTCTTAGTAAGGGAAGCTAACAATGCAAGACTGGGGATGGCCCCCTATAAATAGTAGGGAATGTGTCTTTGTTTTTTACAAGGCCTCTCGAAGAGCAATACTGTGAAAATGCATGGCTGTGTTCAGATGGATTTTAGAAATCATCTGTTGTTGAAAGTCGAACTCAAAAATCGAGAAACACTTTTGGACGTAATAAGGATGGTGATGAATCTTACCTTATAGTTCATGAAGAGGCATTAAGTGACATAGGAAAAAGGCAATACACATACAACACACTTGTCCGGAAGGACGAGTGGGAGATTGAAAGGAATGGTGTCCTTCAAACAAGTGTATTATTACGATAAAGGGGTTGAAATTAATTAGGAAAGCTAATTATTTAGTGAAGTCAAGTGATTGGAATGCCTAGCTAGAGGCCGCTTCCGATCAGTAGTATTAATGTATAGTTAATATACAGCTTGCTCTTGACTAAACCCTTCGGGTCACACCCAATCGTGTAACCAAAAAAAGGTGACAAATTAATCCGAAGGATTAAATAATTCGATAGAGATTTTACGAACTTGCACGTCAGATTCCGAGCTTAGAGTGTCGAAGCCGAGCATCGAATTTTGAGATAATACAAGCAATCGACGAGACAAGAAATTAGTCAAACAACAAGTTCACGCAAAGCCCTAGCCTCGCATTGGCCTTGCCATGCGAGGGCTAGGCTGCAAAGGGCTGCTAGCCTAAGCGCTAGATAGACCGCAAGCACAGCAGCCCCATGTGGGTGCTGGCTGGTGCTTGCTGATCGAGCCAACTTACTAGCAGTGCTAGCAAGGCCAGCTGCATGTTAGCGTGCTGGACCTCGTTGGCTGCTGCTAGCTCTATCCAGCCCGCAGCATGGCAAGGCCACGCACAGCAGCCCGCATAGCCATGTGAGGCCTGCGTATGCGGGCAGCCAGCCAAGGGACCAGGCTGCTA